ATTTTAGATTTTTTATATTTAAAATGAGATGTTTATCCTGTATTTGATTGTGTTTATCTGCAGTTAGTTACACGAATTTAGATATGAGATGAAATGGGATAGGGATGAATGGGTTTAAGAGTTTTTAAGAGTTTAAGAGTTTTTAAGAGTTTTAGCCAAATGTTTTATAATATAGTATAGATAATGTCAAAAATTGTAGTCCATTTGAAGAACGGCAATTATCGACTTGAATAATGCTATATTTATTTTCATATAAAATTTATTTTAAATTGATTATAATTAATAGGCCAATACCTTAAATTAGAAAACAAAATACATATCTATACTATATTAAGTATTTGACAAAAACTCTTCAAAACCATTTTTATACATGAAATACTGTATATTGATGCATATTACTTACAATTCAAGATTACAAGTAACTATGCATATGTACAACTTATTAAAGCTTCATGTTTGAATTCGTGTAACTAACTACGAATAAACATAATCAAATAGAAAATAAACATCTCATTTTAATTTATAAAAAATTTAAAATATAATTAGGATAATTATCGAGTTCTAACAAAATAATTAATTATTATCTTTATGAGAAAAATATATTATTGAACCAAATATAAATTACTTTATTATTGAACCTAAACTAAATTATAAAAAATTGAATTAAAAAAGTACCCAAAAAATATGAATATTAAATAGTTAATTTGATATTAATATCGATATATTTTTATCAAACTTTTATCATATCTTCAAATTTATATCTTATTAAAAAATAAAAAAAAATCATCGTTTTTTCAAAATCACATAAAAAATAAAATAAAATATTAAAATCAAGATGTATCTCGTCGCATTACACAAATACCCTTCTAGTAGATATAAATAAAAGAGTTTTTTAGATGCTGACAAAATTATCGACAATATTTTAGAGTTGAAACATTGGTTTTCATTACCATCCTAATTTTGGCCTATTCTTATTTAGAAAAAAGAGTCACCATCCTAATTTTGACCTATTAAAAAAGTGGATTTGAATAATTATTTCTAAAAAAATGACTCGTTAAAATTAATAGATTAATGATAAAAATAAAAATAAGAATAAAAATTAATACATCTTGATTATAATATTTTCGAAAAAAATTTATCAAGTTTATGATTCATTCTCAGCTTGTTGTTAGTTAGGGGTGAGCAGCGGAACCGGGTACCCACTTGTGGAACTGGAACTGCCTTGGAACTGCTGGTTCCGGAACCGGAACCGATATGAGTGGTTCTGGTTCCAGTTCCTAAAATTCAGAACCGATTGAGAATGGTTCCGGTTCTCAATTTTTTGGAACCGTTACCCGCCGGGTACCCGCTGGGACCGGTTCCGAGACCGGATACACGGAACCGGCGAGTACCCTGAACCGGAACCGACGGGTATCCGGTATTTTTCAATTAAAAATAATAATTAATTTTTTTAATACTAGATTAAGTTAGGTCAAGAACTTAGAACTCTAGATTCAAAATTTAAGATATAATGATTCGTATTTTTTTAAATTGTGTGTTTAATTGGATTCGTAGTATGTAATCGTTAAACTTTGAACATTTACGATTATAGTATGTAATCGTTAAATTTTCAACATTTACTATTAGTCTATTATGGTTTGTAATCGTTAAATAATATTTGTAACCATTATTCAGTATAATTTGTATTCTTGTTTATTTATTAGTGTTTTCACAATGTTTTATTTTTATTTCTAAATAACAAAATTTTAATATTTTAGGAAGCGGGTACCCGGAACCGGAACCGGTTCCCGGCGGTTCCGATTCAGGTTCCAAAATTTCAAGAACCGCTCTAATCAGTTCCGGTTCCAATATCTCAAAACCCGCCGGTTCCGATTCCTATCAAATAGGACGGGTACCCACCTATGCTCACCTCTATTGTTAGTCGACAACTCTCCTTCCCCTCTTCAATCTGTATACATGGCCAATACCCCATTAATATATTATACAACTTACAATCTTTATTATCTTTTTAGAGTTTCGTTTCCTAATACATTAATAATATTATATTAGAATGGTATTTGTGCAATGCAACGAGATATATCTTCATTTTAATGTTTCATTTATTTTTTTGTCTCTTTTAATATAATACAGTTTATATGGTTTTGAGAAATATAATGTTTACACTTTTAAATAAAAATAAATTTAAAGATATCATATAAATTTAAAAAAAAATATCGATATAAATTAACTATTTAAAAGTTCTCGTTTTTTTGTACAATTTCTTTAATTTAGTTTTTATTATAATTTAATTTAGGTCTAATAGCGAAGTAATTTATTTTTGACTTAACAATATAATTTTTATAAAGATAATGATTCTGTTAGAACTCAATGATTATCCTAATTATATTTTAAATTTTAATATTCAAAATGTTTATTCTGTATTTGATTATGTTTATCTACTGTTAGTTATACGAATTCAAAAATGCAGCTTTAATAAGTTGTACTTATGCACAACTTACTTGTAATCTTAAATTTTAAGTAATATGCATTAATACACAGTACTTTATGCATAAAAAATGATTTTTTATCAAATATTTTATAACATAGCATATATTAGATTAATCTTGACCGTTGGTATATGATTAGAATGCATATTCTGCGTACAAGAAAAGAACCAACCAAAAACCATTTATGTTAGTTAACTTGCAACCTTCAAATTGGATCCTTCTAGAATCCTCCAACTCTATGCCAATTGCTATGCCTATGCTAAAGTAGCATAGTCCCAAAATTCAATTCGGCTGTTCTTTATTAATAAACCAAATAACAATCACTAACAACATTTTCACTAAAACAAATACAACGAGATCCAATTAACACTATTATTTACTTACCGGGTAAGATTTTAGTCCACCAAAACGACATCGTATGCAACAATTTACTCAGTAGGCACTTATCGTGGTAAGACTCGTCGCCCTTACTTATCAGGTAAGATTCTTGGTTCTTACGATATTCATCTGATGAGGTAATGTTACTCGGGTAAGCGTTTAGTAAACGGCCCCTAAATCGGAAAACAATCCCAGTTTAGAAAGAAAAACGAAAAGATCGTTGTCGGTTGCCGATCTACCAACATTCATTCATTAATCGTAGCAATTATCAATGAGATCAATTGCATTTTTCCTCCTTGGCTTATACAAAAAGTAATCCATCATTAATTTTGGTTTATTAAGACTAGCACATTATACTAAGCCTACCCATGAGAGGTCATTTAGAGTAGTAATCAAGGGTGGCGTAAAATTAACAAACTAAGTAACCACGTCGAGGATGGACCAACCTACGACTAGACATGGACTACCATTACCATCATTTTGATACTAGGTTCGGCTCATAATAACTCTAAAAAAGAAAAGCTTAACCGACCCCGAATGTCCATCTCTAGCTTGCCACACTCTAATAATTCATTTACATACGGCAAAACTCACACTTTTACCTCCGTGAACATTGAGTATACGGTTGTACTAATGACCCTTTTGTCAAATCGGTAAGAACAATCATGCCACGATCAAGTTCTTACACAAAATAACGCCAGTCGGGTATCCACCAAACCCGGATCATGTTTAACCACAAAGTTGGAAATATAAGAGAGATCAAAGAGAACATGAACAAAAATGATGCACATGAAAAGCATATGACAGTAGATTCTTGATCTTTTTTCTTTCTTAAAAATAAATAATAAACCATTAAGCTATTTCGTTTAATTAAGCCCCTTCTCAAGGAAAAAATATAACCAAAACCAACAAAGAACCCAGATTTCTTTGCACAATGAAAGCAAATTTCCTTCCTATTCTCTTCTTTTTTTTATCTTTAAAAATCCCACAGGTCTAGAGGAAGAAGAAACACAAGAAGCTATTGGGGATTCAACCCATATGTACTTATTCCTATTCACTCATCCATCCCCCCTCTGACTCACTGCAAGGATTTCCAAATCCCTTCTTCTCACTACTCATCTTCATCATCAAACAAGAAACAGTAAAAAGTAATAAAAAAAAAATAACCCAAAAACAAGACCTTTCTTTCTTTCCTTCAAGATTCCAGCTTAGAGTCGGACGAAATATCACCATTGTTCCCCATTCGCGGCATCAGTAACTTGGGTTTAAAGATCTTGGAGGCTGCTTGCAAATTCAGATACTGCATACAGAACAATCATATTCAGAACCAACATCACTTCAAGACTCACACTGAACCCATCTTTCGTCTTCTCTACCACGAGAGAAAGGATCAATGGTACTTTTTAAAAGTTGTTAATTTACCTTACTTACATCTCTGTAAAAAGAACTTATCTCCTCTTCTGTCAGACCTTCCTCCTCCTCACCAGTTTCTTCCCACCCCAGTGAACGCAGGAATCTAGCTTCTTCTTCCTCCGAATAAAGAATAATTGCATCAGAGCTTGAATTGTTCTTTCCGTTAGACCGCTCGGTTGCCTCACCATTGCAGGAGGACAAATCAACCTTGTTGCCGCTAGACACTTGGACCCCACCAGACCCATCTACCACCGCTGGATCAATCCCACCCTCGGTTGCAGTAGGCTTATCACCGGCAGAGATGGATGAACCAGTATCAGGGGTAACAGGCGACGAGTTGTTTGTCATAGATTTCTTCCGCATAAGGTTAAAGAAGTCATTTCGGCTCTGGGCTTGTGATGAGGGTCTCTTCTCCAGTGTAGCAGCTACACCGGGCTTAACAGCAACAGCAACCGCTGGATTGTTACCTAGGTTTCTCAAGGGAGCCGATCCAACAACTGAGGTTACAGCAAGAGGGCTATTTGGTAATTTGCTAGCACCTGTTGGACTCAAGTTGTCCTTTGCAATTGGAGTGATACCGTTCCTTTCGCGTGATGGCTTAAGCACATGAAGTTTCCCCACACTAGATGTCTTTGAAACATCAAATTTTGTAGATACTGGTCGGGGGGAGTGTGTGTGGTTGACAAGATGAGAACTCTGAAGCTGTAATTGCCCGACCTTTGATTTCGGTTTATCAGAAGAGTTCAAAGCCTATAAGGAAAACTGAAAAGTTTAGACAAGCAAGGAACACACAAGAAAACGCATGTGAACCTGAAGCATAAAACAAACACAACAGGTCACAATAACGCAGCAAAAAGAAACTGCAGACAAACTCCCAAGTGAGCTTGTTTGGGTAACGAGTTCACGTCAAGTAAACTTGAGAAAACATGCATTTTGCTACTGAAAATTCCATGCAGCCTTGGTTTTCTCCATAAATCAATGCAAGCATAAACAACTATCGTATGCAAAAGAGCAAAATGCCCAGGTGCTCACAAAAGTGGGGAGAGGGCATCAACAGCCATGCTGCTTTGTGCAGCGCAAAGTTCACCAGTTGTGGAAATTAAAAGTAAAAATTAAGAACAACTAAATAAATAAAACAGAAAGCAGGTCAATCTATCTCTTCTCTTTGATCATCAACATATGCACATCACTAAACAAGACCTTAAACACTACTATTAGGACATTTGAAAGAGTCCATCAGATATACAGTGGAAGCATAAAAGAATTTGCAGAAACAGAACTAAAATCTTTGGTTTATTTAGTGAATGAAAATTCTTGATAGATTCACGCTTGGACAAATTTCATGTTTTTGGAGTACTTGTATAAAAAACTGCACTCCAGTATACCAAAAATTCCTCTAAAAAGATTGGTTTCCAACTAACGGGACAATATGTGCCCATTGACATGCCTTGGTAAATTTTATCAACCCTAAGCTCATGACATGTAATCATTTGCTCGGACCCTTACCTTTGCCATATCATTTTTATACAGAGAGAGAAGATAGAAGGCTGTACATAAATTAAAACCCACCAAACAAGAAATTTGGGGGAAAACTAATTACCGAAACAATACTAGAAATATAATCAAATTGTGACCAGATAAATAAGTTCAATCCGCTCCATATGATGTGGGCATTTTTTATCTTGGTATATCCCATTTCCTGCCTCCTTACTAGTACATTTTTGAGCTCTTTCGGTTAACAAATTGGCCCCCTCAGCAGCACTGAAGACCTTAACTCCCTTCTAATCATATATTTGACTACCTTACTCCATAAAATAGAATGTTTATGCTGCTTCCAAGTTATTTTGAGTTTCCCAGCAATAATGTATGTAGCTACCTCAATTTTATTAAACCAAGGGAATGTATATGGTTTTCTATTTCTCCGCTGCAGGTTTTCTACTATATCTCAAATTCCCCAACTATATAAATATGGATATATTTCCCATTCTGTCAAATTTTCACAGTATACGACATTAAAGTGTTCTACCTGTGTTTCATATAAAGCTAATTATTGTTCATTTCAAACTTTTGTTATAGAATACAATTATGAATTTGGCGTTGCACATGTACAATTATGAATGTCAATGTTCAACCATGTTTTAATTTCTTTTTATATTAATATGGTTGATTGTTCTTTTAAGTGCACATTCAAATGAATCCATATGCAAACTTTTATACCAATGGTGTTCCCATAGGTATTAAGCACATTTAACACAAGCCCACAACTAGTAAACTGATAAAGACATTCAACAACAAAAGTATTGCATAACAATTAATGCACGGTTTTTTCTTTTATGTATTCCCTTGGGTTTAACTTTCTAACATCTGTTTTCTCATTGGCATAATTATGGTATAAACCACTGCTGAACCATCCTCCTGCATTCCTGGTGAACAGAAACCTCTTTTCTTTTCCTTTTCGACCTTACAAAGAAGCTTATTCAGAATTTCTGAGAATTTATTCACAACACTTAAAATCAAGGTTAACCAATTTTTGCTAGGAAATGACAACATACACGAGTTCGCTAAGAATTACATCATAGGAGAATCAAAACAGGATAAAAGGGAGCAACTTGATTTAAGAAGAGGCCATCATCATAGCATTAATGAATAAGACACCTCCTTAAGTATTAAGATTACTGAATTGCTCATTCAACCTCCCTTGATCCATAATGCCATGGCTGTATTAGAATTCATGTTTGTCCTTGTATGAACAAGACAGCCATATGTCACTGGCTTGGTGTTTTTGCCATAACCGACTGTACACCCTCAGCATCTTTTTCTGATAAAGCACACCTGTTTTCTTTGTCGATGGTTAGTCAGCTTGAACCACTCACTAGGTGATCACCAAGAAGACAACATTTATAGGAATGAAGTTTGTAATGCTATTTATAGAACTTGTTGAAAGGTTTTAAGGATTGATTATTGGATGGTTAAAAATGAGGATACCTGCTCCTTGTTGTAAGAGATTCCAACTCATGGAGAATTTTAGATACAAAAAACCTTATAGGTTCTATAATATATATCTAGAACTCTACTATGCATTAAGAGAAATCTAGAGAGTTCTAGGAAATCCTAGAAAGTAAGAGCAATCTATGACATTCTAGAGAACACTATAATTTCCTAGGTAACTCTAGTAATCAACAGAGTCCTCCTTCAAGAATGCTTATTGAGCTGTCCAACAGATGCCAATCAGGCATCCACTAGACTCTTGTGTGCACAGCCTCACCAGAACCAGGTAGCCCATGACATAGAGCACACTTACCTCACTTCCTTCCTGTAGTTTTCACTATTAGGGTGCTGTTAATACTGAATAAAAACGATGAATCTCACAGTGTAACAAAACGACACCTCCTGGGCCATGACTCACCATGTTTTGCAGATATAAACCAATGTTGAAATCCTATATCCACTATAACAAGGTAAAAGCAAAATCTTATACTCGAATTTGAGATGGTAGTCATAGGAAAAAAAAACTATCATTTACAGGATTATACTCTTCAATCAAATACGAAAGGACAACACGTCATATTTAATCTACAGTTTTTCTTATGGGAAGAGGAGATGAAAGAAGCATATTCAAGAATACAAGGTACAATTGTGTATGATGCAAGGCAATGTACACTAATAGTTTGATACTACATATCATCATTTATAACAAAGTATCAATCACAAACACTCTCATGGTTGTTCTCATTAAGTCAAAAAAATTAGGCGTGAACCTCCAAGTCTCTAGAGTTTAATGTCAGTGAAATTCTTCAATACCAGTCACAAAGGTAGGCCACGTTACAGAAACAAATAAACAGTCAGTCCAAGGTAGGCACGAGAAATGAACACATGCAATCACAAGTGAGCAAGACACTTGTGAAGAGAAGGTTAATCTACAGCACAACTAATAGTCCCAAATTCCATTGGAACTACAGTATATAAAAGAAAGACAGAGGAGTATAATTGTGCTTCTGAAGAGAGGTTCTTCAAAGAATCTGTTCCCATATTCCGTTCAAAACAATATCAAGCTATGATATAGCCATTAGTTAAATGTTCAAGAAACCTAAAACTAGAAGGATAAGCAAGATGTCAAGATAAAACAAATCCATGCTTCCTCTAATAAATCTCGTCTCCTACTTACTCCTCTTTCTACATTGTTTTTCACTGAATTAAGTAAGAAGTGCTACTCTTCTCGAAAAAAACAATTTGGTTCCAGATAGCAATGAGCTATAATCAAAACCACCTAGCTTAGGCAAGTACCTTGACGGCTTAACCCACTTACAAGAATGAACAAATGAGTAAGATCCAATTTCAGCAATCAATGTGTGATGAAATCAGTATGGCAAGACAACTAGCCATCTACAATAACCTCAGAAGACATTATCTTGAACTTCAAAATTCATATTATGTTTTTAAAGATGAGCACAAAATATAGCCAAGATGAGTGGCCTTGTTCCTTCTCGGATTACCCAAATTAAGTGTGCAATTACAGGTCAGGATAACTAAAACAATTGTTTTTACATATATACCCTTACACATATCCCTTTAGGTGGATTTAAGATGGAACTCCTCACAAGTTCATGTAAACACATTTCTAGACCAATTACACATTGCCATTAATCCATTTAACCTTTTACACATGAAATTTTTTGGATTTACACCCTTAAGTTAACAATGGCAAAAACAACAGGCAACAATGATATGACCACTCCCCTACCCAATATGCGCACTCACTGTTTCGTTCTGAATTATTGGTTGATATTTATCAAGTTATATAAATTCCATACAACCGCAGTCATGTTCTGGGCCTCATAAAGATAAAATGCGAAGTGTCTCTTGTTACTAGAGAGGGTACTGGAAAATAAACACAAAATAAAAAGTACATCTAAATCAACAACTCTTGATACGAGGCAACAGAAATACTGCAATCCATAAAGAAAGGGCGCATGTATTAAAATACAGAAACCAAATAAACGATATGATTATGAGTTATGCAAAAATCAACAAGAGGTTCAAAAACACTCTTACCAAGGCTTTAGGCAAGGAAGGAGTCATGGGAATCAATTGCCTGGATTGCTTAACGGCAAGCTCTTCAAGCCTTTGAGTTCCAACAGACAACTACAATGAACATAGCTAAACATAAGAACATGATACATGCTAAGGCATGATGTGCTTGTAAGAGATGCTTAAGCTACCTGGGGAGCAGTCTGAGCTCGAGGAGGACCCTGTGCCAAAGTTTCAGCCATATTGCGACCAGTCGCCATGCTTGCAGTTGCCGAGATTGATGTTGATTGAAGAGGTGGTGGAACAGAGGTGTTGCTTCCATTGCTTCCAACTATCACAGGCACCTCAGCCAGTGCTGAGGTCCACCCATCACCGCCAATCACAGCTGAGTTACCGATTGGTAGGCTCTGAATGGCAGTAGTCAATCCAGGAGATGGGACTCTTCCAATCTCAGGATCTATTTGTTTTTCTTCTGCTCCAAGAGATGGAAAATCCCTCTCAAATGCAGTCTTGACACTGCCAATGGCACCAGCACCAGAACGTAAAGCACTCCCATTGTTGTGGCTATTTTTGTTAGCACTGCTTGAGTCAACTACTACTTTCCTGGGCCATGACTCACCACGCTTTGCAGATACACTTGAATGTGAACGCCTTAGCCCTTCTTTCTCAAACCTACTTGGTAAAATGTTACCCAGGGGATCAGAATAATCACGAAGCCGACCATCTGGCTTTTCTTTTTCACGGAACTCGTGTATATCCTTGTCCCAGTCCCTATCACGATGGTTCCGACCAAAACTACTGTAAGACCTTAAATGAGATGAACCGTTACTACTAGTGCGACGGAAGTATGAGGAAGTTGTCCTATCTGAAACAGAAGGGCGTCCTAATTCGTTATCACTGATGTTAACAAACGATTTATTTCTTGTGGCCTTTGATACACCTTGTTCATCTAAAAGAACAACATTGTCAGGTAAATAACAAAACTGAAAAGAAATTCCAAATAACATATATTGTTGAGAAATAAAATGAATAGAATTACCAGAGTGCAATGAAGATGATTGAAGCTGATGGGATGTTGTGCTTAAGCCTCCACTGCTCTTTAACCATTCAGGTACAAATGTTGGCTCACTTCTTTCCATAGTTAGTGCTGAACATCATAAGAACAGAATAACAAAGGAGATATGTGCATTCGAGTATTATTATTCATACCCTTCTGTCTTTCCCTCCAACAAAATCTATGTGTGCCTCATCCATTTAAGGAATCCAGATAACCAATATAAGTAGTCAATTCCAGCAATCAAAGCTCGTATGAGAAAACCAGAGCTTCAAATGCTATCTATGTTTCTAAACCTTTCAACACCACCACTATTATCAGATAAAAGAATCCAAAATCTATCCTGTACACAGTTAGGCAGGGCTCATTTTGTCCCTCCACCCTTGGTATTTACCGGAATTCCAACCCCAATCAAGAACAGAGACTAACAGCCTTACCAAGGTTCAAAGCATCCATATTTCAAGACTGAACGAACTTACAAGACCCTCATCTTATAAATAAGTTCAATCAGCACTAGCACAAAACGAACCGTCTTATATCATCGAGAAACACAAAATATATCCCTTCTTGATGAATACTTCAAGCCCATTACAGAGAAGAATCAAACCCTAAAATTTAAAAAGCGTCACAAACAGACAAAACAAATCGAAACCCTAGGTTCTGTACGTCCGATACACAACCGTAAACAATCAAGAAAAGGGTGTTCTAAATTCGTAATATTGGCGAGAAAATATCGAAAATTAAACTAACCCTTAACCGTTAAATCAAAACAACACCCGAAAAAACCCTAAGTAGCCGCCTCTATCCTTTTTTCCCTTGGGTATCTCAGTGCGATTGGATTCTACGGGGCAATTCCTCTATGTAATGAAGAAAGAAAAACCAAGAGTCTCAAATTAATTGTGAAGAAAGACAGAGAGAGAGAAAGCATGTATGTATTGTATTTACTGTGTGTTTGTATGCGGTGAGTGTAGGAGATGGAGAATGAGAAGAACACCGTGAACCCGCTTTGATTTCGCCGTGTGGAGAAACAACTTTTATCTCACTGTGTGTATTGTGTGTGTGAGAGAGAGGGGAGAAGAAAGGGGGATTGTGAGGAAGTTTTTTTCTTGTTTGGTGTTGGTTTTGGAATTCACGTTGCTCTCTGTTTGGCGTGACCCCTTGTTTCTGTGAAATGCTTTCTAACCCTAATTACTATTTACTTAATTACCCATTAAGCATCCACATTAACCCGATAATCCAATCCGAACACAAATCGATATATTAAGGGGGTGTTTGGGATTGCTTATAAAAGCAACTTATTGACTTGTTCCGGTGTGGCACCGGTAATAAACACTTTTGAGTGTTTGGATAAACAACTTATACCGGTGTCAAACCAGTAATAATAAGTTGTTGAAAAAATTAAACTATTCTAACTTATAATAAGTTGATAAGTGCTTTTGTAGAAAAGCATAAATTGTTTCAAATAAGCAATCTCAAACACCCCCTAAATTATGATTATGCCCAAATCACCTAACTTGAACCTTTTCGACGTTCGAAACTGTCGTCGTTGATCGATAAATGTATTCCAATTCAAAACTTGAATGTGGTTATAACAGATGCACGGTTCTTTTGTTTTAAAGTATACTGTTTATGCGTATTTTTCTTTAAAATATGATTTTCTTACGGAATAGCGTCATTTATGTTTACCGATTCAAACTTGGATTAGGTGTAGCAGGAACGAGAGATGGTTGGTTTATATACGTGTTACCTTACAACGGATGAGTTTACGTGACATCATGCCAAGCTAAGTTGCCATAATTTACAGTTATCGAGCTTCGCAACTTTCAGATGTATCTTATTCAGAAAAAAAGTTTGTATTGTTACGTATTTGGATGTGCGTTTCCAGTTCACTACGTGGTCATACAAGGAAACGGTGAAAGAGCAAGTGTTATCTTCAGAGTGAATATATTGACACACATGATTTATTGTATTATATGATATTCTCGAAGGTAAATTCGATTTTTAAAAATATTGAATATCGGATGACATAATATTTCTTTGAAAACATGTAGAATATAATAGAGAATGTGATCCCTCTCGAGACGCGTAGGAGAACGTAAATTTTGTGTTTATGAAAAGGCAAATTGCATTAAATAGAAAGGACAAATTGCATTAAGTCGAACGTACTTTGTTTTGGTTATATTTGGATAATCTATTTTTCAAAGTTCTGCTTTGGGAAATTCACTATGGGGTTGTGTAACTTTTCTTTCATTAAGTCATGTATAGATTAAGATGTTTATCCAGATAAATCTGTTATCCCGAGGAAATGAGACCAATGGATTTAAGGGAGGCAAGAGAGAGTGTTGGGTTATTTCTAGGACATTTTTGGTATTAGTTTGTTTGAGGTGACTTAACGGGAACATGTAATGGGTCCTTGTTTATTCCATATAGCCATTTTGGCTTAATGAGTAAGTTGTAATTAAGCATTTTTGTATGACTGAGCGGGAAAAAAAAAACCGTTCAAACCATTAAGTTCATTAAGTTATAAGTAAACAACCCTTATGTATGGTTAATAGAACATACTAAACTTTTGTAAGCAAACATAACAACTTTGTTTATCCTCATTGGCAGATACTTCCTTTACAAGTCATCTAATATATGTGTCACATTTTAAACCTATGACTTAATGAGGTCACGGTTTTTATGCAACACACACAGTTATTTTCATAAATAAGAATACATTTAACCATTGATAACTATAATAAAAAGACATACGACAACAATCATAATTCAACATATTAACACTGAAATTCAAATATCCAAATAATATTATCCACTTAATAGTAAATGGATGGTTTTTGACATGCATTGTACGTACCAATGTTATAACACTCATTTCTTCCCTTTTAGCTATCTTATTTTCCTTTAATATCCAAAATTTGAGTTTTTTATTATTTTATTCGTCTCTTTCTTATTTGTAGATCTAAAGTAGTGATTTACCTATTTTTATACCAATTGAAGGCTAATTCAACCTTATAGACAGTTGTTTGTGCTGTAGCATTACCACAACACTGGATCTGTTAGTTTTTGTAACGTTTTGGATGGCTTAATACATTCAGTCATGGATTTGCTTTGGAATCAGACTTTTTGTAGTTTGGATATCAAGATTTGAAGACAGAAATAGTTGATGGACTTCTAGTTTTAATTTAATTTATTTAGTTAGTTTTTTTGTACTTTAATGTTGATTTTAGTTTAGCTTAGGGACCAAGTTTGCTTAAAAGTTTCATTTTGCCCCCCTCTAGCTTAGTATAAATAAGAGGTATGGGTTTGTGTTTTGTTGTGGAGAAATCCAATCCAATCAGATCTAATCTGATTGTGATTTACGGTTTGAAGTATTTGAAGTTTATGCTCTCGTTTTAATATATAAATTCTCGTATTTTCTTGAATCCTGTTCTTCATAGTTTCTTTACATCAAGTTCTTTGATTTTTACATTTATTGTCTTTAATTTATTACGTTTTCCGCTCTTTGATTTCTGTTATTTACTTTCAGTTATTTATTTTGATGTCTTTACTTTTTGTTTGTTACATTTCTTCGTAATTTATTTATGTTATGAGTAGCTAAATCTCTTAGCTTGGGTGTGAGACGGAAATGGTGAGTTTGTAAATCAAAAGAAAGCAGATCAATTTTATGTAACAACATTGTTTCATTATTTCATTCCAAGTTTTATAAACCAATAACATTTCTCGACGAGTTGATCACTTTAAAGTGTTAAAGTGTTGATCACTTTAAAGTGTTAAAGTGTCATTGACTCTAAGTTGAGCCATTGATTGCACCAATTTGAATGATATGGGAAGTACACTTGAAAGAGTTGCTGACAAAGAGATTTGTTATCTATATTTTCTAAATTGGTTAGTTCTCGACAGGTTGATTATTTTGAAGTGTTAAAGTGGAATGAACTCAAAGATGAGTCATTTAAAACATGTCAACTTGAATGGTATGATAACCCGTTCGAAAGAGTGTTTTTTAACAAAGAGATTTGTTTATCCGTATATTTTGAGGACACCATTTGTCACTTTCACTGGTTTGGATATTACATATATATATATATATATATATATATATATGAGTTGAAAGCTATAATATCATTGCAATGGTGAAGTCCGAAAGGAATACCCTCAAAATAAATTGTGTAAATAATAGTTACTAATTGCATGTTGTAGCATTTTGACAGCATTGGTCTGCTAGAATTTGTGTTTACGTCTCACCAAAGGTATTACACCATTGCTTTCTTTATTTTATGTCATTTTCAGTAGTATTAACTCAAATCCAAATCAAAGTCTTCAAACTCGTCATCTGAAGTTAGTCTTTCAACTTGAAATCTTGCAACTTAAGATACCTATCCATGTGGAATACGATACTTGGTTCTTATCATTTTATTACTTGAAGGCGATACTGTTGACACATGTATACTTGTATATGTTACCACTTAGTGTTGTAGAAATACAATATCTAGCCCCCTTCAATTTCATACCGTCACATGTGCTATTAATATGTGGTTTTTGCTAAATTAATCTCTAGAAGAAATTCATTTGCATAATTAACACTGAAACAATTTAACCATTATATATCTTTTAATTATAATTGTTTATAGTTTCAACACACAACCTGATTAAACAAACAACTTGCAAAAACGTTGGATATATAAGCAAAAAAAATGTCATGCATATATCCTAGTTTAAAATAAACACGATACTGTTTACATAGATGAATAACGTTTGGGCGTTCCAAACCCTTTTTCAATCCTTGATAATTTAAAAGCCTGGATTAGGCCACACCGGGCTTTCGGGTTGAAAAAGGGTTTGATCGGGCTTTTTAGGCTGGGATTTCAAGCTTTTTTAGGTCGGGTTTTTCAGATAGGGCCTAAGCCCGGATTAGCCCCCATAATTTATGCTTAATTGGGTTTTGAGGCTTGCCCCAAACATGGGCTTCAATCTTAATACGCCTGGACTTTTCACGTCGGATAAAACTAAATGTACACTTTTTATGCATCTAATCACTTGTGCAATCCTAATCTAGAATATTCTTGAAATCACCTTACGTGACAACAACAATAACCCATAAATATTTATGAATCTTTATATTACAATTTATATTATAGTTTACAGAATTCTATAAGAATGTCCTAATACTGTGTAATTTTGGCAACAAAAAAACTAGCCAAAATACATTTTACGCGACAAAGTAAATTTTAGTGACCAAACTACGATTTTTATAATTTGAGGGATAAATAGTGACTAAAACGTCAGAAATCCTAGAACAATAACCAAACCTCATTTTATAAATTTTAATTGTTTCAAGACTTAAATGTTTGAAATATCACGGTAGATATCACATTTTAAAAATTGACTATGCCATACACAATATTTGGAACTTAAATTTGCTAAAATCATGGCCAAAATAACATTTTTAAAGTTGCAGGGGCTAATTTGTAATTTCTTAAAACTTTAAAATTTTCATGATCCTATTCAAGTCTTCCGTTCACCCTCCCTACATAATGGCCCATTTGTACATGAAAGTCCGATGCTTACAACTCAATTCCCTTTGCCCATACATGCCTCGATTTACTGGGACATGGATATGTTTCATTTGACCCGCAACCAAACCTTATTCACGACCTGATTGTGACCTAGCTCGCAATTTTGAGCTTTATTTGCTCATTCTTTTTGCCAAATCCGACATGTACATACAGTATCTACATTTTGGCATATAAACAACTTTTATTGCAAACTAGAGTGGTCCCAAATTCATTTTCATTTGAATACCCCTCTTCTTTGGCCTACAACCACTACAACATTCGTCTAAAATTCCAAAATTGACCAAAACTATATAAATAGTTTTAAGAATAATTGTGAAATTGATTGTTAAGCTAAACTTCATCATTATTGGTTTGTTATTAGTTTCCAGATGATTTTTATAAGTTTTTAGAAAGAAAAAAAAGAGTGGTTTTGGTTGATACGTCATTGTCTATGTATATCAAAAATCAATGAGTCAATGCCACACTGGCTTCTATTTGAGGTACATACGGACAACCACCAACATGTCCTTG